CTAAGTCAAAAGGGCCTCCAAGCAAAGCCTGTGATCCCTGACCTGACTCCACAACAGAGACACGATGCTTCAAACTCCGTAGGCAAGGCAAGGAAGGGTCTGTACAAAATGAATGTTGAAGGTTTAGGCTTGGGGCTCAGGGTCTCGAGGGCTGCGGGTTTAGGGGGATCAATCTTGTGGACTCATGATCGCAAAGTGCTTGGAGGGTGTAGGATTAAACCAAAAAACCCTAAGCCCTCAAACCGCCTGACTTCGTGCTTGCGGATTCAATGATCGCATAGTGCAGCACGTTACATCGCGTGAGAGGCCGGTTCTTGAACATGACCTCAGCGAGATGGTTTTCCCAATCCCTGTAATGGCCTCAGAAGGGGCTCATTAACTGAGAGGCTTCCTGAGGTGTTCCTTGAAAGGGATCACAACAGGGCCTACAGGCGGGAGGGTTAGCTAAGATACTTCTAGCCGAACTAGTACGAACCACCAACCCTAAACTCTAAACCCCAAAATCCCATGATCCTCCGGGTAGGGAGCCCACACCCTTCCTGTACAAGAAATTCTTTGTAAGGATTAATTAGGGTAGAGCTTAGGGTTTCGTCGGTTTAGGTTTTTGGATTTAGGGCTTGGGGCTTCCTCGGTCTAGGCCTTTAAGGGTTTGGGGTTTACTGTTTCGGTTCAGGGTTTTGGGGTTTTGGGGCTTAGGGTTTAGGTTATCTGCTTCTATTGCAAGCTTGAAAGTCCCGAGTTTAGAGTTTGCGATGGGTTCGTCAGGCAAGCACTTCACAACTCGAAATCCTACATCACCTGTGCCGAAGCCTCGGCCACCCTCACGAGCGGTTCAAGGTTTAGGGTTCAGGGTTTAGGGTTTAGGGTTTTGGGGTTAAGTGTTTAAAGGGTTTAGGGTTTAATAGGGCTTTGGGGTGTTGGCGTAAAAAAGAGACGGAATATTGCGATTTCTTGAACGTGGCAGCGACGGTGCTCGCCAGGTCATCATGGTGACACCACCGTTCTGCGAGCAACATTATTAGCATGGTTCGTGCTGCCTTGCATCTCCGATTTCGCTCCACTGTCGAGCGTCGTTTTGGTAATTGTTGATGTGTTGGTTTCGTGCATGTTATGTATGTGTTACACCGTAAGTTGTGGTTGTCTGCCTTGGGTTTGCTTCTCCCCTTCCCACGTGCTGTGACGAACCTAGGGCCTAGGACTGTGAGTGGCCTAATATAGAAGCCCTGATAATGAGAACACGCTTTTCAAGGGAAGGACAGTAAGGGAATACTATGAGTAATTATGCCGACCCAATGTAGGGTCCTTAATAATTAGAATAAGGTTTTGGGGTATAATATACTATACTTTAAGGGGCCTACATAAGTGTAGCTATACTAGTTTGGGGGATTCCTTATTATAGCTATACTACAAAAAGCCCCACAACCCTATTCCCTATATTATAGTTATAGTGTTCAGGGTTTAAGGTTTAGGGTCTACTGGGTTTAGGGTTTAGGGTACTCTCTACCCAAAGCTCTGAATCCAAGACCCTAGACCCAAAACCCTACTGTTGATGGTAGAAATATGTAGAAATCCTGCACTACCTTAAGGACCCTAAACTCTGGGAGTTATGGTAGATTCCTGATTATGGGTCATGCAGGATTTATATCATCAGCCGTATGACACCCTACAACCCCAAAGCCATCAAGCCTAAACCCTAAACCGTATGACACCCTATAAGCCCAAAGCCTAAACCCTAAACCCTAAACCCTAAACCCTAAACCCTAAACCCTAAACCCTATAACCCCAAAGCCATCAACCAAGTCAGGCCCTGAGGATGCCGCCGGCTTGGAGAACTCTTGGTTGATCTGCTCAGGGTCGAAGGTCTCCCTTAGTGGGTTTAGGGTTTAGGGTTTAGGGTTCAGGGTTTAGGGTTTAGGGTGTTAGGTTTTAGGGTTTAGGGTCTAGGGTTTAGGGTTTGTAAAGCTTCTTGGAAGTTTGCAGTATTGGTTTCTACAGAGTTAGAGATTCAGGGTTTGAGGTGTGGATGGTTTTCGATAAGTGGCCAAGGGTTTAGTTGAGTTATCCTGAGGGAGTACATGGTTTTAAAGAATTGACAAAGGACTTAAGGTTGTAGGGTTGGGTTAAGCCTAAACCCCCAAGCCCCAAATGGGTTTAAATGTAGGAGCTCGAGTACGAACCCCCGTGTTCAGAATAGGGATCTTCCAATCCCTACGTGAACCCCACAAAACCCACCTGATTAAGGGCTGATACAAGTAAGGCACGCTGAACAAGGTTTGTTTCGTAGAGTCCAGGTCAGCCCCAAAGACACGAGCCTGCTTTCCAAGTACTTGTGATTCTAAACCAGGAGATCGATGCAGGAAGGAGCCTGGTTGAGAACCCAGAAGGACTGGGGCTGAAGGTCCTAAACCCTAAACCCTCATTTGGGTTTTGGGGTTTACGGGTTTAGAGTTATTGAGTCCTAAATGAACGGAGCCCAGAGCTTCCTATTCCGCGGTTTTGAATGACCTAAGTGGGTGTTCCTGAAAAGGACTCCTGTAATATAAGGGCGCCATAGGGTTATAAGGGCACTACAGGCTGTAGCGTTTAAGGGTTTCGGGGGTTCAGGGCTTAGGGTTCAGGGTAAACCCTAAACTAGCATTTTGGGATATAGTTTAAAGATCCCAATTAAAGGGACCTAGAAGGGCTGCTGAAATAAGGGTTCTGTGGTATAGGCGCCTGAATGCAAGCAGGAGCTCTAAGGGGAACCAACGGTTAATCTTAAACAAATTTCTACTACTAAGACTTTTCTATTCAGAAAAGAGCCCTCCTGCATCCTCCAGCCGCCAATGCGTGCAGCCGAGGCTCTCTTGGATGCTGCCTCCGGGACACGCGATCAAGGCTCAGGGCTTAGCTACGGCTTAGGGCTTATAGGGCCTATAAGCTACGGTGTTGGGTTTGGGGATATTTCGGGTCTAGAGGGCAAAAGTCGGGTCTATAGGGCCTAAGCTGCGATTTAGGGTTTTAGGGTTCAGGGCTTGGGTTAAGGTTATATATTATAAACATTATATTATAGCCTGGTTACAACTTACTTTCGAGCTTACAAAAGATGGCCCAAGCTCAGTCAAGCAGGGGGGCGACTTGAACACGAAACCCTAAACCCCCTCGGCCGCGTCGAAAGGGTTTAGGGTTAAGGGTCTTGGCTGTAAGCCCAAATTTCACAGGTTTCGAGTCCGGTTGTACCGTTTAGGGGTTTAGCTGGGTTCTTGTTAAGGGATTTAGTTTATGTTACTCTTACTAAAGAAACCATATAGATCCCTATTATGGCAAGAAGCCCTAAACCCTAAACCCCTAAAGCCACAAACCCCTCAACTCTCAACTCGCTTCCCCGAACATTTTGGCGGGACGAATTGGATGCAAACGCTTTTGTGATCTTTTCTCCCGGGGCATGGGGGGGGGAGACTGGGTATTGGGTTGTGGAGTGTATATAACATGGGT